AAAAACTACTTAAAAGTCCTAATGTTTGGTTCGTGACCCTTTTGAGGAAATTATGGCATCAAACCTATCGTTCAGGCTCTCGATAGTGCGATCAATAACGTCTCTCGGTAATCTTTCCAGGTTCTATCGCATATCCGTGCTAAAGACGACTTTGAGATTTCACATTTCCCTGCAATTTCGCGGAGCGATAGCCCCGTGTTTCTTTAAGAAACCAAACCCTGGCCCGTTGATCGTCGGAAATTTTTCCGGTATACACCATTACGTACTGTGAAACCGTTTGCTCCAGTAACCGCTTCACCGTTAATCCCATTTATTCTTTGAAATATTGTACGCGCGACTATGCAACAAAGCAGGTTTTACGTTATGACGAGTTTAAAATAGTCGTTTTCCGACTCCGACGAAAAGTCCGTTATAAAACACCGGACATCTTCCAAACCTGCTGGTCATAGAGTAACTCACTTGAAAACCCCCAAAAAACATATTTTCTCTGTTCAAACGCAGTAAAAACTGCGTTTTTTGGTTGAGCAACAAATTCAGACAAACGTGGACAAAAGTCTTGGGACAGTTGTACAGTTCGAACGATTGTTAATACACGCGAAAGTGTATCCGCACGCTACTAACACTGTACGTCCCTACTCCCTCCCCCCACCCCACAGACAGTGTTGAAACCGTCAAGGCACAATTCCTTTGATCTTTCAACATTGTATTGGGTGGGGAGGGGGGAGGGGACATGGATTTGTAAAAAGACATCACTGTTTTTTGCGACAGAACTTGTGAAACGCATAGAATTGAAGTTACGTTCTGACTGTCCCAAGGACTTTTGTCCATGATTGTAGATTGCAACTCAGATTTGAAGAAATCAGACGAGTGAAACAAGCTTTGTACAAACAAAACAAAATAGAAACAATACTGTACCGTGAAACTGTTCAATTAAGTTCGTCAAGTCACGTTTTTTATGTAAAAATCGAAAAATTTGTGGTGGCAAACTTTCGCATTTCCGGTGTCTGGTATGTTGGGAGGTGGAATTAAGTTACAAATGTCCGTTTAATACAGGTTGGCAACAATAGAAATGACCATTTCAGGGGCTTTTTAGGGGTCCGCATCCGCTTAATAGGGGTGTCCGCTTAATGAAGGTTCCATTTAAAGTAAATAAGGGAAATAAATTTGGGGACTGCGGCTACTGTCCACTTAATAGAGGGTGTCTGCTTAATACGGTGTCCGCTTAAGGTGACTCGACTAGATTTTTTTAATTTAAATCGAACAATAAACTTGTAATCCACAAATCAGTTAACTTAAGGGCACATTCATGTGACTTTTGAAGGAAAGGCTAAGTGATTTTAGAGTGAAACATCTTACATCGAGTTGATAGCCTTATATGTACATCCAAAAAATAGCAATTATCTTCGATCACATTCAAGAACCATAATAGACAATCAATCGTGGGCTTTTAGCGAAACCGTTCAAAAAACTTCCAAAATCACCCATACAGCCAGCCGGTTCTCACTTTTGACGAGCGCCAAATTTGCAGTGAAGATTAATAGAGTTACGCTTCAACATAATAAAGAATATATTATGTGCATTTTTTTATTTCATGGTTTTATAACGATGTGTAATCTTTAAAAGCGTTTGATACGTGCGGCATTTTGAGTACTCCTGCAAGCGATGTTCATGAACGACTGAAAACAAACGGCACGGATTTCTGACTTTGACAAGCAACGCATCTCAAAACCAAATCTCCAATAAACAAACTAGCCATGAATAACAGAAGACTCTTGATAGCAGCTGTATTTCATTTTGTACATCCAGTGAAAAAAGACAGTGGAAAAGTTGACACAAAACTGTGTCAGCTTCAGCTTTCAAAGTAAACAAGTTTCAAGATGCTGCATAAATTTTCCACATGAACTCACCGGTCAAATTTTTACCAATCAGAGCATAAAAATTGGACGTAGAGTGTGACCAACGAGTGACCTTGGTAAGGAAAGGTCTTCCTCGCCTGTATTTTTAAATAACTGGCTGAATTTAAGGTTAGTTTGAAAGCAAAATCTTAATAGTGCCGGGCCATAGTGACATAAACACAACATATTTCATATGAATTTTTAAAAAAAATACACTTGCGCCTGCGATCATTTGAAAACTAGTAACTTGTCAGCGAATAACTCCAAAAAAGTACTTGACCTCGACGGGTCAACACCTGAGCCCGCGATACGGTCAGGTGATAATGGTCAGCAGATAGCTTTAGTTTAAGCTGCTATCCATTCTTCGAAATTTGGATTTGTAAATCACTAAGAAGAATTTTAAGTACATCCTGCAAAAACTACTAACCAGCAGGGCCCCGCGTGACCGAACATTGCAGGAAGCCTTCACATTCATGGACAAAAGAAAATCGCTTTTAGTTATTTAGATCCAGGGGGCACATTGAAGAAAATTAAACAACCTAAAAGTTTAAGTTTCGAAAGAGGTCAAAGAAAATGCTCTCGACTCGCATCAGAGGGCAAATCATGCCGTCCAGAAATAAACCGCAGAAAATCAATATGAGTGTCACAACCTCTCAGTATAAAACAAGCGGCAAAAATAATGCATATTTGCTCAGTCATAATCTACCCGCTGGAGAAAAGTTCATTGGAACAAGCAGCATTTTGGAACGAGGTGAAAGTCTTGTGTTGCCTCCTGATCCCCTTTTTACACACTGCATATGCCAGGTACTAACTGGAATAGCAGTGATTTTCCATAGCCGGTCGGCAAGACCACCAATATGTCTTTCCTTTAAATAGTAATTCACAATGCCCTCTCATAGTTCCATACTTATTTCCTCCACACCATCGAATGTTCCAATGACTTTGGCTATTGCCTTATCCAAATCATCGGTTCATACAGGCATCTGATATTTTTAATTCTCTTCCAAACAGTAAAAACGTACGTGATGTGTGCTTGGATTGTTTGGATTTGATCCTTGTCACCTTCAAACCACCCGCGTTCCGATCACGCGCCTATTGTGATTGTAATCCAATCAGAGCATTTGAAACAATCCATATCTCCAAGAAACCAATCAGCAAAACATCCAGATTCTAGATGTTTTGGTATAAACGGGGTTGTAATTGGCTCGGCGCTATCAAAGGGATGGTGCTCTGGTCCAGAGGCTTTTCGCGCGGGTCACTTTTTAAGACTTGACTGAAACTGGAAACCGCGCATGAAAAGTCTCTGGCACCCAGGGTACAAAGTAGCTAGAAACTGTGAAAGTAAAAATTGTTTACTTGTGGTGTGGATGGGCGGGCGGTCGGTCGGTCGTACGGTCACGTGATTACCAAATTTTCTGGGGTGGGTAGATTTACTTAGCTATGGGGCTCAACGCATGTGCGAAGCGTGCGCGTGGAGCTCAGCTATAAAGATAAAAATTTCTTATTGCAATTTCTTATTTTGTGTTTACAAGTGAGCGTCCTCATTATTCACTGGCATTGTTTTCACTTCGTTTCAAAATTTTTCGAAAACGCTCTCATAGAATTTGTTCAAACTGCCATAATTGAGGCAATTATGGCAGGCACAAACTCCCTTAAACGATTTCTTGAAAAAACTCCTGGTACAGAGAAACACAATGATAAATAAAAAACGTAATGGCATTGTTACGTTGCCATGGCGACTCCGATTGCAATAAAACCCAGATCATAAGAAATTTTCATCTTTATATAATACAGATGTGGTAAACTTTTTCCCATATCTTTTTTCATGCCGACATAGTTAATGCTCAAACTTGGGAGGTATCCCCCCTAAAAAAAATCAAGACGAGCAACCTTAATAGATGTTTATATATTCACTGTATTAATCTTGGTCCCAAGATTTTGAGATTTTATTTAAATTAATATTATTTTATTTTTTAGGCAATTTTCAATTTTTTATTAATGTGAAGCACTTGTGGACTCTTAAGGAACAAGGTATCGGTCAAATGGAAGCTTCAACATCCCCCTCCGGACAACTCCCTGGGCATTTGACTTTTTTGAGAATTATTATTCAAATTCCCCCCTACCCGAGCCAAAATGCCGTTCAAATGCCCCACACTAGGGTCCATTCAGGTGATCAAATGCCCCCACCCCGGGGACAAAACTCTCGTGCAAAGCAGCTGGAATAGCTGCTCGCTTGCCCAAATAGGAGAGCTTGCCCACAGGCTACTACAAGGTCACTGAATGCTCAGCTTTTCTTCGCGTGTCATGCAACATACAAAGCATTCTAAAAATAAATCCCACCTACTGAGATTACTGCACTCCATACATGCGATATTCATGACCATTTCACTGACACGAATCATTGCTCGCCTTATTAGTAAACATACATGCGGCAGGTTAAAGTAATAGAACTTGTCACGGTTTTCGATGCCATCTTGACGAGTAGAAAAAAGTGTGAGAAATTACAGTGTTTGTATGAGAATCCAATGTGGAGTAACTTCCGTGAAACGGCTGTTTAGAAAAAAATATCAATTGTAAGCTGAAGCTACAAAGCAAAGGATTGCACTAAAAAAAAATTGGGGGCGAACGGTGTACCTGTGCTTAAATTTCTCCAGAGGCTTGCTTTAGACTTAATTTTTCCCGGGACTTTTCTTAAAGACAAATGTATAGAAAATTTCAAAAAGTGGTTCTAGGTCTTCTAGCTCATGTTAAAGGAGCTATGTCACGACCTGCGCATGTGCAGCGTTTTAGGCTGTTCTGCTGATTTTCTCAACTTTCCGCCATATTGGATTTAACAAACCTGGTCGATTTTTGGCAGCAAACCTCTATTTTCTACATCTTTTGAGGACTTAAAGAGAAACTACAATACCATGTCAGTCTTTCGCCGTTTTAGTAAGCCATGGAGGCGCACGATTCTAGTCAGGTTAGTAATCGCTTCCTATCTATCGATAGATCGCCATGTCACAATGTCTCCAGTACGGAGATTTCCTGAGAGTTTTTCTTATTTTGGGCAACATTTAAGAATACTAGTCTTGACAAACTTGTCCTGTATGTTCTCTTTTGTAGCCGAATCGTATTTACTGCACATGCAAGAGCACTTGCTCGACAAAAAGAACAAGTACTGAAGTGTCATGTGGGCAGGACTGTAAATGTGGGTCTCAGTCAAAGCCGTGTCGAAACAAGGTAATCTGTTCTCGAAAGGTTGACAAAATGTTGGATCTATTGTTGATTTTTATACAAATTTCTTGAAAGAGGTGCAAATTTGCAATCTTTGGAGAGAAAACGTTTGTTGTTTTAGCAAAGGAAATGTGCTGTAATCCCCACGATCTGTCCTGCAGAATTATTATGAGGTCCTGTACTGTGTTAATATATTTTTGGATAAATGCTCACCGATTGTTTTTTTTGGTATGGCAGTATACCTTGTCAGTCTACATTTTAGTGTCACACTTCTCCTCTACAAATGTAGTCATTATACTGAACAAAAATATACACTATTGTTTGTTTTCCTGATATTTTACCTCTCTTTGACAGGACTGTATTCAAACTTTGATGAGCCAATGGTGCACAAACTGTGTGTCAGAAGTCTACAATGTGGATTAGGGAGCATGGACTACATACATAGTCTGCTAATTATGGACGATGACAATGATAGTGACACTGAGAGTGAGCATTTTGATGTGTACAGAGAAACCCCACAGGAGTCTGAATCCACTGATAGCCAACATGCTTCAGCAGTTGCGGGACCAGCACCTAACCCTTCTGCTGCATCAAACTCACTTCCCTGGTGTAAATGTAGTTTTTGTATTGTTGTGGTCAGAGAAGATGTGTTACAACATTTGCAAGGTTCAGCAAGCTTTGTCTCGACCCAGATGTGTTAGAAATCGAGCAGCAGCACAGTGATGATAACAGTACACAAGGGCCTTCAGGAAGGCTGCATACAGGCAATTTATTCTTGATCGTTATGGACATCTAGGGAAGGGTAACAGAAAGGTCTGTCCTTCGTGTGTGGTCAAAACTGTGCGCAGACATTATCCTTCGCAGACAGGTGTGTACATGGGGTACAGACCCGAATGAGACAACCACCATGGAACTGTGTTCTGCATCTCACGAGAATAGCTAGACTTGTATTTCCCCAGTTTGTTCTTTCTCTAGTTCTTCAGAACTTTATTATAATATTTTGTTATTTCTAAGTCATGAACGGAGTCGGCAACCATCTTTTTCATGTTTCCATAACATATCCATTTCCACCCCAAGAAAGGTCAATAATAGGCTTATTTCATGTGGAGGGTGGTTGTAAAGGCCAAATTTTAAAAAGAGAGTAGGGGGAAAACCTAAAAACCTTCACTCAGGGGATTATAGATTATTTTTCTTGATCCACTCCTTTAGTTTGTTACAATGTTATGCTTTTATTGTAAGACATTTACATCATTTTTTGACGTAAAGAAATCAAAGTGTTACATCAGCATGAATTTCAGACGATTGCTGAGAGGAGATGACTCGAAGTAATCGTCTGAAATTCAGGTTAAGTTATGATTTACAAAATTTGCAATCAACTTAGTTGTGGTTGTTTCATGAACTGATTTCAAAAATAACAATGCAATGAAATTGTTGTTAGAAAATGTCATCTACAATGGAGGTCAAAAGTGTTGGGACCTTTTCAGTGATATTAGTAAAACTAGCAAACCCTCTCCCCTCCCACCCCAAATAAAGTTGAATTTTGAGCAAATGGGTGGAATTGACTGCTTTATTTGGCCACAACATTGCTGGGGGGAGTGGGGGATGACGGAATTAGCCCAAAGCTGATCAAAAAATTGTCATTAGGAGCAGAGTCCTATGTAACAGTTACTTGGAAGGGCTTTTTCACACAGTCCCAAGTTCTTTTCTCCTTCATTGTAGTTCTTTGTACTATAATACAGTAGCCTGCAAAAAAGTAGTGTCCCATAGCCCAGGGCCTATGGGTAAGTCAAGTTTTTGAGGAATTCACATGACAGAATAACAGTGTTAAATCAATTCTGCTCACCAAAAGTGTTGGGGCTAGTTGAAATGACATCTGGGCTACTAAATGCTACCTTCAGCTTCCCGAAGCTGTGAAACTTACTTTCTTTGCACTCTGTACATGTACGTAAAGTATGCAAACATTATTTGTACCATTTTATTTCGTACATCTAAACTTGTTGGTGTTAATAAGGACTGTTAAGTCAGTGACTGACTTGAACATCTGTAGTGGCCGAGCCACTCAGGCTATCCTCGGTGCAAAATTGCAATCACATAATCATTCATTTTAACATACCCGCCAAAACAAAAGAAAAATTAATAACCTTTCAACTTATAAATAAACATGAACAAATTACCCATTATCAGCAATTACAGCAAAGTGAGCAAGACGATTGAAAAAGACACATTTCAGCCTTTAGGGCAATATCCTACTGATGAAAAGTTCCAACTTAGTTTTAGATATTTTGAGCAACAACAATTTTCCGTCTGTCCTCTTTGAATTTTTATTACTACTTGAGGAATTCTCTGAATGATCTTCAGTACCAGATTGAAATCTGCTCTTACGTGCCATAAAAAGTTCCTTTGAAGGGGGTGCCTGTTTTTCAGCGATGGTGAGAGCCAGCAAAGCAGGGTCGCTTTCATTCAAAGACAGCCGCCTCGTAACACTATCAGTATCTTCTTTTCTCATGTTAAAAATCTTCACCATCATCACTGGAATGTACTCAAACTTTTTCTTGACTGTGATAATTTTCACGTCCCAATCATTTGTTCACTGATCGTACTTTCTGGTTACTATCTGCTCTCCTGCTTTTGTTGTTGCTGCTTCAAGGTTCATATGGAAATTCCAATAAATGGCTGCAAGCTGTTTGCATGCTTTGTGAACTTTGTTACTGTAACACAAGTATGATAACAAAAAGATTACTATTCACAGTCCCTTTATTATTTTTGTTTCATAATTTGCATTGTAAAATCAGTCTCAATAAAAGTCGTTTCAAATTTTGGAAATTCTTCCCTTTATTGCTGAGTAGTAAGTGCAGCTGAATCCCAATCTGGTAGGTTAGGTTCTAGACTTGATCTTACCAGTCACTGGTTTTGAACCATAAAACTGCCACGCTTTAATAGCTAGCTGGTTGCAGCATGCCAGGTGGGATTCTTTCTTGTCATGTTTACATGTACATTGTCTATATATTATTATTAGTTCAACTGGATCAAAAAGGTCTCGCATGACATTTGACGAAGTGTCAAATTTTCCTCGTTTCACAGGCGTTAACATAATAAACAAACCTGTAAGAGCATCGTTTTGAAGTATAAACCAGTGAAAGGCTGTTGGCACACTTGAGTTTGCCTGTGTGTCTGCAATCAAAGGTAAAAGAACCACTAACCATGAAAAATTTATTGTAATATAATGCATGCAAGGCATTATTGCCATGGAAATGAATGGAAATGCTACTAGGATTAGCATGCAGTCTCCTTTTTAATGACCAATTTCTATTCTCCAAGTAACTGCAAAGAACTGTGATACATTGTATGACTCAATAAAAGTCTCCAGAGACACCACAGGAACTGCAATAAATTATGAAAAACTGGAAAAACAATGTGCATTATCTTGGATGACTCTGGTCAATGTTAATTAAAAATTGATCAATAAATGAATCAATCAAAAAATTTATCAATCAATGAATATATTAAAAATTAAAAATTAAAAATATTAAAAATTAAAATTAAAAAAAAAATTGAATATCAACATGCCAAGAACTGGTTTTATTTAGTTGGTAGTAATATCCTAAGTAAATAAGCTCCCACATCTTGAGAGCCAAAGATTAGACATAAGGGTTGCCTCTCAGCCAGTGTCACATTTATTGGCAAGAATGTTGTCTCAATAACTAATAATTTCTCAGGAAAAACAATCATTACCAAGGTTTGGTATTTTACCTGAATCGCACATAATATTTAAAACTGTTAAGAAGCATTGGTTCCAGGATAATTTTCTGGAGGGCCGCAAAATAATAGTAATGTGAAGACATTTATTCAATCTAGAATCAAGTACAGCTGCAGTCTCACCTTCAATGTGGCTTCGTTTTGAGGAAGGAACTGGTTTGTGGATGATGCCTCTCTCTCTCCTTTTTTACAAACGGTAGATGCACTATCCCTGTAAAAGAAAATAGATACATACATTCAAAACAACTGATTAACTCCAAATAAGACCGCCAGCAAACAGATTGAACAGACATTTTATGCATTTACCTTCTTCTTGTCTCGGCGATAGAAGATGGGCAGCAAACATGGAATCGTTGTCGTATCCGCACTTGATCCTCGTAGAAACCCAAGATTAGAAAAGTGTTCCATCCAACGAAATCCTTTTACGAGTCTTACGCCAGAACTGAAGCCTCGCTGAGTTGCTAGCGAAGATTTTCTTGCGGCCGCTTCCTGATCGGCGACCGCCATGAGAGGACATTTGTTACCTCCAAACAGTTGACCTCAAATAAGCCGTTGATCAGAGTCATTGAAACAAAAACACACAGGAACCTTCTAAAAGGGCTGTACAATAGTAACTAACGTTTAACTATAAACAAACCTGTAAGAGCATCGTTTTGAAGTATAAACCAGTGAAAGGCTGTTGGCACACTTGAGTTTGCCTGTGTGTCTGCAATCAAAGGTAAAAGAACCACTAACCATGAAAAATTTATTGTAATATAATGCATGCAAGGCATTATTGCCATGGAAATGAATGGAAATGCTACTAGGATTAGCATGCAGTCTCCTTTTTAATGACCAATTTCTATTCTCCAAGTAACTGCAAAGAACTGTGATACATTGTATGACTCAATAAAAGTCTCCAGAGACACCACAGGAACTGCAATAAATTATGAAAAACTGGAAAAACAATGTGCATTATCTTGGATGACTCTGGTCAATGCTTAATTAAAAATTGATCAATAAATGAATCAATCAAAAAATTTATCAATCAATGAATATATTAAAAATTAAAAATTAAAAATATTAAAAATTAAAATTAAAAAAAAAATTGAATATCAACATGCCAAGAACTGGTTTTATTTAGTTGGTAGTAATATCCTAAGTAAATAAGCTCCCACATCTTGAGAGCCAAAGATTAGACATAAGGGTTGCCTCTCAGCCAGTGTCACATTTATTGGCAAGAATGTTGTCTCAATAACTAATAATTTCTCAGGAAAAACAATCATTACCAAGGTTTGGTATTTTACCTGAATCGCACATAATATTTAAAACTGTTAAGAAGCATTGGTTCCAGGATAATTTTCTGGAGGGCCGCAAAATAATAGTAATGTGAAGACATTTATTCAATCTAGAATCAAGTACAGCTGCAGTCTCACCTTCAATGTGGCTTCGTTTTGAGGAAGGAACTGGTTTGTGGATGATGCCTCTCTCTCTCCTTTTTTACAAACGGTAGATGCACTATCCCTGTAAAAGAAAATAGATACATACATTCAAAACAACTGATTAACTCCAAATAAGACCGCCAGCAAACAGATTGAACAGACATTTTATGCATTTACCTTCTTCTTGTCTCGAGCGATAGAAGATGGGCAGCAAACATGGAATCGTTGTCGTATCCGCACTTGATCCTCGTAGAAACCCAAGATTAGAAAAGTGTTCCATCCAACGAAATCCTTTTACGAGTCTTACGCCAGAACTGAAGCCTCGCTGAGTTGCTAGCGAAGATTTTCTTGCGGCCGCTTCCTGATCGGCGACCGCCATGAGAGGACATTTGTTACCTCCAAACAGTTGACCTCAAATAAGCCGTTGATCAGAGTCATTGAAACAAAAACACACAGGAACCTTCTAAAAGGGCTGTACAATAGTAACTAACGTTTAACTATGCGAACTGTTAACGGATGGCTGCGATAAATAACGACAAACTCCTGATATTGAATCACCCGCAGAACTTGAAAAAGTTGGCGAACGTTTTCAAGATGTAACGCTTCATCGCGCACATGCGCAGTGTGTGACATAGCTCCTTTAAACGCCCTCAATTTTTTCTAAACCCTTGGGAGTGAAGCTTTAGTTTACAATTGATTTTTTTTTCCAGAACAGCCGTTTTACGCAAATTATTCCTCATTAGATTCTCATACAAACACTGTAGTTTCTCACGCGTTTGCCTACTTGCCAAGATAGCGTCGAAACCGTGACAAGGTCTATTGACCTCTGTTGAGCTTTTTATTGTTGTATTGAATCGCCCGTATAGGTATTGTATTGCATTTTATAAAATAACTAAGATAGTACGCGCGCTCTGATTGGCTAAAAACCTATGGTTTATTGTGCCCGTAAACTCATAGAAAACTTAAAATTATTTTATAAAAGCAATAGACCACACTTTCTATGGGTTTACCGGCGTGATAACCCACTTGGGATGTTGGGAGAACACTCGGAAAGCTTGTAAATCACTCGCCTTTGGCTCGTAATTTACAAGCTTTTCTCGTGTTCTCCCAACATCCCGCGTGGGTTATCACGCTGGTAAACCCATAGAAAGTGTGGTCTATTGCTTAGTTAACACAACTTAATACATTCATGCATATATCCAGAGCCTGAATCCAATATTAATAATATTAAAATTTGAATACCTTTAAATACAGCACAAAGCTTGCTTAAGCCCTTTCCTCGTAACCAATTGGCCACAAAGGCACAATCTTTTCCATGAAAATACTCTAACACCGCGTCTGCCATGATAGCTCCCCACGTGCAAAGCGGTAAACGCAAAGCGCTCAGGGATTTCACATGAAATCGAGGCTACGGTTAAAATTCCCCACCCTGTACGCATGGGGATCAAATTCCCCCTGGAAGACTCTGATAATGAAATTCCCTCTACCCCGGGACGGCAAAGATGCCAAATGCCTGGGGTATGCCCGAGGGGGGGGGGGGGGAGGGGATGTTGAAGCTTCGATTTGACCGATACATAAGCGCTATATGAATAAATTGTTATTATCATTATAATTATTATTATCACAAGCTGTGATTTAACCGCTATCATTTTGAATTAATTCTTTATTTCTGCATAAAGACACTCAGTGATCTTGGTAATTCAAGTAATCTGATTGGTTAGCTATCTCGGACTATGTACCGCACTAGGCGGTGAATATAAAGCAGAACAAAATCGCTGTCGTGAACTGGGTGTTTTGCTAAGGTTTCATAGTAAAGCCTTTTGAAAATACACGAATATCCAAGTGCTGATGACTTTGAAGGCAAGAAAAGACTTCATGGTGTTTAAACAGCGTGATTTATTGTGAAGTGGTTTACTGTAGCTGACTTTTTGTACGCTCGAAGCTATGTTTACCACTACAGAGGAAAACGAGGTCGCTTTGTCACTGTTTTGTGATTTTGGGATTTTTTCGCAGGACCAATTTTGCCTATAAATAGAAGTTAATTTATGGAGAAAAGAGGAAGGCAAATATTTTCGAAAATTGTACGTGCCAGCAAGTTAACAAGGCAAAGAACTTTGGAGATAAACAACGCTCACCTTGATCGTAGCCGCTGTTGACAGCATTTTCAAGAAGCGACAAAGAAAACTTTCTCATTCACGGTGAGTTGACAGAAACAAATAAAGCTCTACTTTTCTCCTCAAAATTGGGTAGTAATTTAAATTTTCTGCGTTTTCTTTTACACCGTTGATGCTAAAGCTTACAAAATTCGATAAAAAAGGATTAAAACTATCATTGCCATGTTTGAAGATATTGTAAAGATCTAACTTTTGCGCACCCACTGTTTACGGCTTCGTGTTTACGCATGAATTCACCCGTCAATCAAACTAATCGTTTTTTAATGGTTTCCTTTCTGAATCTGTTGAGATCACTTCGTGTGAATATACTAAAAACAATTGTTCACCTCAGGCTCAGTTAACATTGTTAATTAAAATTACTATTAAAAGGAAGAAACAGTTACAATTCACATTCCATCAGCCTTCTTATGTTCAGATTTGTTTTTACGGGTCAAAGGAGATACAACGTAAACAACCAAAAAAACCTTGAGCGGATACGGCTTTATGAATTCCATATCTGAAAGCATTTCCTGTACAAGTTTAACACGTACACTTTCAATCTAATAAATGTTAATTTTCGTCATTCTTGACTCAGTTCTTCAATTGGGGTGAAAAGACTTGCTTGAATACGCGGCTTATGATAGGGTCATCCATACACACTATGCAGAACGAAAAGAGACTGGGAGCGATCAACTTGAAAACGAGGCTAGTTGGGCCTTGTTTACTCGTGTTAGAAATATAGCCGCTCATGGCTCTGTAAGTAGCCGTCTTTCTCAGAGTCTTACGGAGGAAGATATCCCCGGAGCATCGCTTCAGGGAAGAAATGCGACTGCTCTTAAAACAGATGAACTTCGCTTTTGGTTAAACTGTCGTGGCGATCCAGCAAAGGGGTTAAAAAAAAAAGGCACAATTGGCGAAAAGGTAAGTACAGTATTTGTCAGTGGTGCGTGATACTTTTTAGCGGGGCTAAAAAATGTTATGTTTTTTATTTCTAATTTAATGAAGTCGAGCGTAGTTTATGCGGCTATTTTGTTTACGCACGTTTGTAAGATTTGAGACAATGATCTGACCGAGTATCAGGTTTATATAAGCTTACAGATCTTTTTTCTCACCGCAAATAGAAAGAACACGTTCCAAAGAATTTTTAGTTATAATTCTGGCTGTAAAAGAAGCTTTGAGCGATTTTCTTGCCTCGAGTTTGTCTTTGAAAAAAGCAAACACCGGGAAGCCGGCTTAAAACATAAACTTCAGCTTTAAGCTCGAAGACTCAGGATTTTTAGAGACACTTTAATACTTGTCTTCCTGAATGAAAATTGTCGTCTCTGTATATGTTTCACCGAATTTTATTTCTTTTATTGATTATTAGTAGTCTCTCTTGTAATTTTAATCGCTGTGCCGATTGTTTTCAGTCGTTCAGTGAACAACGCTTCCCAGAGTACTCAAAATGCTGCGCGTTAAACCATTTTAAAATAAAAAATAAACATAATAAATTCTTTATTATATTGGAGCTTAACTGTGTTAATGTTCATTCAAACACTCGCCACAGTTAGCACTGCAAAAGTCAGAACCGGCTGGCCGTATAGGTGATTTTGGAAATTTTTTTAACGGTTTAGCTAAAGCCCACGCGTGCTTTGATCGTCCTGAATATTGAATGATAGCAATTTGTATTGCAAAACTGTCAAATACTGCATTCTGTTGTCCGAGGTCTGTATGATAAAAAAGTGCCTCATAGTACTGTTTCACCTCAGATGTGATGTATAAATGATATATAAGGTTGGTTTACACGAACCCAGATTTGTTGGCAATATTTTGTAAAGTAAACTTGTCGAACGCAGAAAATTCGGCCGGAACTTTTTTCCAGGCCTAATTAACCTACGGTGATCAAGAGCCATTATGGCTCTTTAAAAATGTGATCGAAGACGAGTGCCAGTTTTTGAGTGTACATATGAGGCCATCAACTCGATGTAAGATTTGGTTCACTCTGGGATTGTTTGCAAATTATTTTTGTCTAAAATCACTTAGCCTTTCCCTGAAAAGTCACACGAATGTGCTCTAAAGTTAACTGAATTGTGGAATACAAGTTTATTGTTTGATTTAAATTATAAACTTATTAATGGGAGCCTCGCTTTTAGCCCTGGCTAAATCTATATATTAGAATTAAAAGAGACTTTGATATTGTAAATGGAAATCAAAAGATTTAGGAGTTATTTTCTCGATGAAATGTTTTTAAAAATGTAATGATTAATAGTTTTTCTACTTTTCATTTTGAAGAGTTCTTGAATATGTTGCGTCTGATCGTGATAAAGATGTTGTGGATCCCGATAAAAATCTGATATACACGCGTCGAAAGGCGAGACAAGAACAACTCGCTCAAAGTGATGCGATGCCTGAGGAAAGTACTGTTAAATTTCCATCAGCCGGATGGTCTACAAGTTTGCAACGAATGCCATTATTCACAAGGGCAGAGATGGATTTACATATTTCTAAATCTGGAAAAAACTTTGACAGAAATAAACAGAACCATGCTGTTCCAACAAGCATGAAAAAGGCAAAACATTTCTTGATGATGAATACCTGAGAGACTTAACTTGCGCAAGTGATGACCAATATTTCTATTTTAAATGCTTGTGTTACCATAGCTTTAAAAAAAATGAGCCACCCCACAAATTACAAGTTGCACTTTGTTTAGTAAGTGGAGTTGTTAAATATGCTTCGTGTACATGTGTAGCAGGATCTGTTGGTTTTTGCAATCATGTGCTTGCTGTTATGATGAAACTCTGTAAGTTCAGCTTGTATTGTTGTCAAGATATTAAGGACTTGGAAAATGAATCTGATATGACACAAGCTAAGGCATGCACTTCAAGTTTACAACTATCGCACTGGCCTGTAAGAGGAGATAAAATCAAGCCCCGACCTGTCATGGAACTTGAGGTAAAAAAGTCGAATATAGACACAGAGTATAACCCTGATAGTGGAGTAAGGTGCTTGTTGCATGAAGCTAGGAAAAATTTGGGTACACAGGCATCTGATGAAGCTTTGTTAAAAAACAAGCTTCAAGAGATCAACCCTAAGTTTGCCCTGTCTCAAATTATGTCTACTGGTGGTACCAACTTACCGGAAACAAAATTTGGAAAATGTCCAAGTGGCTCATATGCAAGTTACCAGTTACAGTTCACAGAGTCTAATTTTCAAGTTTTCTGTAATATTGACTCAGTACCTAGAGTGGACTCTAATGATGAACAAAATGTTATTTCTGTATATCCTCCATTTCCTTTGCAACAATCTGAGCAGTATGAAAAGCCAGATGATTTAAGCCGCAACCAGGAAGCACTCCTGGATCATTTGATTGTTGATGAGGCAAAGCTTAATACCATAGAGAAGAAAACAAGTGAACAAGCAGCTTCACAGGAATGGCAGGCTGAAAGGAAATTTCGGTATACAGCAAATTTTTACAATTTCCACACAATTGTAAAAAGGCAAAGGAATCATGACACTCTAGTAAATAACCTGCTTCACCCCAAACCATTCACTGCCAAACAAACTGCACATGGGAAAACCTATGAGCGTGTAGCCTTAAAAGAATATGAAAAATATATGTTTTCAACGAGGAACCCAGTTTCAGTGTTCAAAAGTGGCCTTGTTGTCAGTATGGCCTCTCCCTCTTTAGCAGCATCACCAGATGGCCAGGTCATTGACCGAGGCTGTAGCAAGCCTTTTGGGCTGGTAGAGGTTAAATGTCCCTACTCTAAATTTCATGTGAGTCCCTTAGAAACATGTGCCGATGAACGTTTCTTTGCAGAAAATGTAAATGGAAAGCCAAGGCTGAAAAGGGGGCATCAGTACTACTTCCAGATACAGGGTCAACTAGGTATTACAGGAGCAAGTTGGTGTGACTTTGTTATCTATACTAACAAAGGCATGAGTATAGAGAGGATCACATCTGATCCTCAATTCTGGAACGTATTGAATGAAGGCCTAAAGGAGAGCTATTTTGAACATTTCATAGCACCAGCTTCTGTAGAGTTCAGTAATCATTAGAAGGGTTAACTACCCTAATCTAATCTTGGCACGAGTAAAGAGAAATTTTGTGTCTCATACCTAACTTGATATGTTTAAAACAGAGTATCAACCAACATGGTCTGTATAATAAGATAGCTTTCTTTATTCTTTGATTTTAAGATCTTTAGAACTACATGTAAAAGCTGACATCTTTTAAGTGTTTGGGACTGAAAGCAAGCGAATCACATCCTCAGTTTTAGTTGGTTTAGAAAATATTTGACCTGAGGTGTATCATCAGGTTTACATTTATTAAATTGACTGAAATTCTGTAGTGTGCCTCAGAGCTCTGCCTAACTCAGTGTTAAGTGGAAATAAGAGGGTCCTGATTGTTACATAAAAAGGCACAGACACTCCACATTTGGTTTACTACCCCAAACAAAGTGAGGGGTACAACACTATCCCATAAGTGAAAATTCTTGATTTTATTGATGGCCCGTTCAACTTGTATTCTAACAGAAGCAATTTCTTGAGTCTTGATAACATCTTGTGCTGTCATTTGGCTATTAGACCCTAAAAAGGGGGGAATGTTTAGGGTTACACCCAGTGGGAGTACGTCTTCAATTGTAAAACCTTTATCGGCCATCACGGTGTCACCATTGTCAAACTCTAACTTCAGGAAACCACTTCGTTCAACAATTTCGCGATCGGAAATGCTTCCACTATATAGCTGACTGATAAAAGTTATAGCTCCACTGGGAGTAATTCCAACTAAGCCTTTTAGAGTTACATGGTTCTTATAGGAGCTGAACAATTTGGAATTCAACAGAAGGCTGGAAGGCATTTGGCATCTAATTTCTGTACAATCGATTATTACACGGGTGCAAGAGTATTTCTCTTTAAAGCTGTCAGGCATTGTAGCTCTTATAACCTCCCTATTAGGCCATATAGATACTTGACCAAATTTTAAATACATGTAATTTATCCAAGAAAGGAATGTTCTGTTTACTGTCGACTGTGAAATACCAAACAAGTGAGCTAGATGTTTTTCTGCAAACCCCCTTCTCAGTCTGCAGAGAACAAGGAACAACTCCTCTCTGGGTTCTAAGCTTCTTTGTCTACCTATACATCCCTCTGGTTCCTCGTTTCCACTATCGTAAAACTCCTTTTGGACAGTTCTTTCTTCTGATGAACAGTACCTAATGTTTTCCCCTTTCGATCCAGTATTTAAAAATTCAAACACAGCATTAAATGTTGCTAAATTAGGAAATCCCGTATAAAAGGCAATGTCCTCGTCGGTAGTAAAATTGCGTAGCTGAAAAAGGCGGGAATCTTTAAGGCTCCTCTGGCGTTTTAATGCCTCTATTTCAGCCTTTAACTTCGCATTTTCAAGTTCAAAACCTCGAATTCCTTCAAGTTCTTTAACTTCTTCTGTTTGATCTTCACACGAACTTAAGCTGTTTTCCACATTATGACAACTAACAGCTGCTGATGAAGTACAGGTTTCAGAAGTTGTTTCAGCTGCATCTGCAGTTGTTTGACTTTGAGATGATTGCAACTCTTTGTTTGAACACTCTGTTGTAGACGAAAGATTGCGACATTTAAGAGGTACTCGCTTTTTCGGAGAACCTTTGGACCACGAAAATCGAGATGGAATTACCCGTGCCTTTACATAAACACGCTGACCTCCAATAGCTTTAACCAAGTCCTGGGGCTTAAAATGACGAGAACAGATCTTCGCGTTTTGGTTGACTCTAAACGCTTTTCCTTCGTCTCGACGAATGGCATGGAGCCAACGTTTTTTTGAGGATAACGTCGTCTGGAAACTTCAAGTAAGAAATTTTCTCCCCGTTTTCGGTTCTGTATTTCTTTTTGGTACAGTTTGGAACACAACAATTTTGCGGCATTTTCAAAAACTGGCGCCTTCACATCAGGCGGCCATTCTTATTTACCAGGCCCAACTAGCCTCGTTTTCAAGTTGATCGCTCCCAGTCTCTTTTCGTTCTGCATTGGGTGTATGCCAGTGCATGAAGTTACTCTTACAGCGGGGCTGGAGATTTAGCCACTTGAATTGGGGAAACTTCATGTCTCCTTTCATCTTTTTCATTTTTCTCCACCAAATTTGAGCTTAAGTTTTCTTTTTCTCTGACTAAGATGCTCCCTTTTTTAAGTTGTTATTTGATTCTTTAAGTTGTTATTCTTGTGGTCAAAAACCCTCCTTCCTTCCTTGAAATGAAAATCATTTACTAGGAATACACAACTTCACTTTCATAAATTGAATATGACGAAAAAAAGTTCTTTCCTGACTCATTTTTTCTTAATTAGCACCTTTGTTTCATGAAGAGTGAAAGTTATATTAAGTTTCACATCTTTGTATTTGCACTCAGTTTGGAGTCACTGTTTATGAAGAATTGTGCAGATCGAGCCCCCCTAGTTTGATAGCTGCATGGGGATTTAAGCCAATCAGAAACAGACAAATACTTTGAATGAACAATAAAAAGATACACTAACAACATTTCAGAGCTCCATTATTTTTACTCGCTTTAAGTTTAAACCTTTTTTAAAAGCTTGACCAAAACTATCCTATCAATGACCACAATAATACGAACAAATACACCCACTGTACATCATTTATCATTGAACTTGACCTCCCTTGCAAAAAGTATAATACTACTTGAAGCCAAATTTTCCCCAATCGTTTGCTGTATTCAATTTTGTGCTGATGCTGGTTTGAGTGTGATGTCATTGAGGCAGTGTTGGTCGTCAAGACCAATTTAAGCATTTCACTCACTTCATTTCACTCTTCTGGGAACTAAACCCTACTTTCAAACAAATTCTGCGAAAAAAAATCTTTTTTATTGTTTTGATCACCAATAATGGTCACCTGGTCAGGTGGTTGCAAACCAAAAAGTACACCGACATTTCTATTGATAGAATTAGAGGGAGTGAATTAGAAAACATCTTATACGTTGATTTTTTTTTTAAATTTACGTTTACTTTGCGGGGTGGAGGGGAGTAGTTTGGGCAATAATTTTTTATCCCTTTATCCCTTTCCCCTCTCAGGTTGACATGGTCATCCCATGAAAATAATATTGTTTGTTCGTTTGTTTCTGTTTTTTTCGATCTCTTTTGATGGTGTTGCTTGTTAAGATGCTAGAACAATTATTTTATTTAGGCCAAACATGTTCTATTCCAAAAAAATGGTGTCACACAAATCAGTACTAGTCCATCTCCTCATACTAACCATTTAGTAAAAGATAATTGCAATTATGTTCACAACTTCACAGCAGGTTTACGGTTTACCATTTTGTTAAATTCAGTTCTGGTTTCAACATGTGATCACCTTTGCAAGGTCAGGGTGTTCATTTAATTATCCTGGTAAATAATAAATGAGAAATAAAATGTGTCTTTCTCATTTAGAACAATGTTTGTTTAACATGAACATTTAACCAAATGGTGAGATAACTCCTCATGCTTCAACACAAACATCCTCAAGAACAAAGATGATGACACAATTGTCGAATAAAATTTAAACAACGTTTAGATTTCTTTCAACACTTTGTCAACTAGGTTTCAACCTTTTAGCTCCAAAACTGCTGAAACTTAAACACCATTTTGTGGAAGTGGAAGATATCACATATCATTATTAAAACGTTGCCTTATTAGCATGCAGCAAATGGTCAGCTTTGCCCTTTTTAACGAGCATTGGTTTCCCGTAAAGTCCTTCTTAGCTGAGAAAAAGTCCTTTTAAATGACAATTAGTAAAAAGGTTCTTATCTGAATCAAATTTTCCCCTGGAAATTATATTAATTGTTGTACTTGCCGCTTTCCAGGGGCACCCAACGACAATTTTCGGAAAAATATCTGTTCGGAAGACGATTTGAGATCTAGAATTTTCGGAACATTTGTTGTAAAATTTCTTGCTTGCCTGCCTCTCCTAGGATTTTCGAACATCTAAAAAATGGTAAAATTGCCCATTTTCAACGGATTTTTACCCTAAAAAGGTCACCTAGAATTTTCGGAAGCCTTTTTTCTGGCTGAAATTTTCGAACAGGTAAGTTTTGATCCCTATAATTTTCGGATCACTAGACTTTCAGCTAGGAAATCCGAACAGATGAAAAATTTATAGGGGATAAAAATATGCCCATATCCACCGTTTAAATACTAAAACACGTTTAACAATGCTATGTTTAAGTGGTTTTGAACCATATTCTCGTTGGGTGCCCCTGGCTTTCCCGAGAAACCAAAAGTATAATATTATTATTCTTGTCATCCACATGTCATGGGTTCTTGACATTACTCGCAATCTTAGCGATACAAAATGTCTTGCACCAAATCATCCAGCTTTTTACTTCGGCGAGCGCGAAGTAAAGGATTCGCGACGCTCAGGAATGTACGAAAGTTAACATTTTTGGGACAAGATTGGGCACGCAAAGTCTGTAGGTGTTCGGTTTTATTCGCCTATTTGACGAAGTGAGAGCCGACTTGGTTCGAGATATCTCGAGATCACTTCGATCTTTAATTTATAATTATTCTTTAACTGGCTTTCCCGGGGTTTGAACCGACTCACCTGTGTGACCCGTCAGATCAGAGGAGACTCTAAGTTGAGGGATTAGCCGATTGCATTTCGGGACAAGATTGGGCGCGCAAGTTTGTGACTTTTCGGCTTGTTTCGGCAATTTCACGAAATGACACCGGACTACTTCGTGATATCTTGAGATCATTTCGAGTTTAGTCTTTAATCAGGGGCACCCAACGAGAATATAGTTCAAAACCACTTAAACATAGCATTGTTGAACGTATTTCAGTATTTTAACGGTAGATATAGCCATATTTTTATCCCCTAAAAATTTTTTATCTGTTCGGATTTCCTAGCTGAAAGTCTAGTGATCCGAAAATTATAGGGATCAAAACTTACCTTTTCGAAAATTTCAGCCAGAAAAAAGGCTCCCGAAAATTCTAGGTGACCTTTTTAGGGTAAAAATCCGTTAAAAATGGGCAATTATACCATTTTGGGGGGGTTCGAAAATCCTAGGAGAGGC